GACCTTAGAACTGAAGAAGCTTCTCGGATGAGAGGTGAAACGTCTTCAAGCAACTTAAAGAAGTCCAGACGCTTTTCTTTGCAAGCTCCTTTGACTACAATGACCTGGATGACTGAGAACCTTCACAGACATGCCACTAAATCCTAGCTTGGTTCAGGTGGCATTAGATTAGATTAGTTTCCCAAACCACTGGCTATATATAGAACATAATTTTCCTGAACGTATATAAGAAGTGTAATTTTCACCCAGTGGTAAGAATATATAAAGATTATGGCATCTAAACACTGAGGAGAGGTCCAGTACAACATAAGAGTATCTCACTCAATGTAACGCTATGTTGGAATCAGGAAGAATTTCTTCTTCTTTGTAACTAGTTTCCATGGGTGATCAAATTCAGCTTTCCCCCAACTGATCAGTCATTTCGGATTTCAGCTCAGATGTGTAGTCATGCCATTATACTGCTCGCTGGGGTTCTAAGAGTGCAGTGGAGTGAGAACAATTCAACATATTTCTCCATTTGTTGTACAGTTATACAAGCAATAAGTGTGGAGAAAACCCCCCGCCAAAAAACAAGACATCATTCTGGCAGCTTTACGGCTGCGATAGTCCCACCCACAGCACTGATTAGCCAACATCCAACATGGGTCAGGTTCCTCTTCAAGTTTCAGACTGTTCTTAAACAACAAACAAAACTGAAAAAAACACTATGAAGACATTAAAAGAGGGATTAAAGAACCAGAGTTAAAATCTATTAATTTCGACTAACGAAGGTCGGCTGGATCATTCACATTGTATGTGAATGAAACAGTTAAATATAATTTGGTGATCTCCCACTGGTTTACATACACTTCAGACATTCTCATTCTTAACAGGTGAATTAAACGTGTCACAATGCCAGACAAGCCAGTCATCTTGATTAAGTGGATGAATTTAAACATATGTCCCATCCAGTAAGGGACTGGTGAGGTTCTTATCGACAGTGATCATTTTATTTTAAATTGTATTCCATTTACTTACTTTTCTGATTAGGCCAACCCCTGTTTTTGGTAGCGGAGCAGTTTCTACACCACCCAATCACCAGTGCAACTATGTTTCAACAGCCTACTAATACCATCCGACCACTGAAATCTCTCAGCCTGGTGTTTTGCTAGTTTCAGTTTCTTAACATGTGGAGCTATGAAGCATTAGATAAAACAACAGGCCAAAGGTGACAAAGTTTATGGTATTTAGAGACTTTGACATGGACAATTTTACATTCAGTTTAACTGGAAATTGCTTGCTTAGTGTCTTGCTGCACTGGTCACAATGTGTACTAGGTTTCACTGGAATAATAATAATAATAATAATAATAATGGATTACATTTATATATCTTGTAACTGGAAGGTTGCTGGTTCGATCCCCAGCTCTGTCTGTCTTGGTCGTTGTGTCCTTGGGCAAGACACTTCACCTACCCCCTACTGGTGATGGCCAGAGGGGCCGATGGCGCGATATGGCAGCCTCGCTTCTGTCAGTCTGTGGCTACAACTGTAGCTTGCCTCCACCAGTGTGTGAATGTGAGAGTGAATGAATAGTGAAATTGTAAAGCACTTTGAGGGTCTCAAAAAGCGCTATATAAATGCAACCCATTATTATTACTCAAGTACCATGAATTTCAACTTAGCAGTGGTACAATTACTGTAAATGTACACAACTTTGAATCACTTAAAATTCAGTGATATTGCACAGTAAAACGGAATAATCTTATTCATTATATAGAGTAATACTGAGATTCAATTTTGCCATATCCTGCATGTAGAATACAATCTGACAATGTGTTATAACGCTGGGGTTTTCGTGAGTTGTTATATACCAGACTTGAACAAACTTACGCCATGATGCCGGAGAGGTGGAATATCTCAGCAGACAGGTAGGCCATGTAGCTGTACAAAAAGACAAAAAGAGGCTCGATGACGCGCGTGTGGGAGGTGAAGCGTGAGGTGAAGGCAGCGAGGATCCCGTACAGAACTCCAACTAGAACGCCACCCAGGGCGACTACAAAGAAGGAGATGACTCCCAGGAAGCCTTTCAACAGCGTCACTGAGCCAATGCCTGAAAACTCCTCAAACAGGTGGTACAATACCTACAAGAGGGAGAGTGAAAGAGGGAAGAAAAACTGAATAACAAAAAAAAGGTACTAACTAATGAATATGAATTGGTAGGAGAATAGTTTAAGAAACAGGATTATGATGGGTGATAAGGACATGAACTAATGTCTTAGTCAATCCAGTCAAGGGGCTAAGGACAGAATGCATTGTTTGCTGACTGAGAAGCTCCTTTTATTTTTTAACATGAAAATAAATTTGGCCTCTGGGCTGGTTACACATTGTATGAATAAAATGTATATACACTAGTCCCTGTAATGCCAGGTAAACAAATCAGCAGAATGCCAAATGCCAAACAGTTTTAGCCTGAAAAATGTCTGCCTCATATATATCAGTCTACTGTACTACTTAGACTGCAGTTTGGTCACTCACCACAGTTACGGCATCATTGAGTAGTGATTCGCCAAACACCAGGATGTGCAAGAGCTCATTGATGTGGATCTCCTCAAACACAGCAAGCACAGCAACAGGATCCACAGCTGATATGATGGAACCAAAGAGCAGGCACTGCAGAAGCCCTATTCTGCTAAGGATTGAACTGCTTTCTGTACCAATCTGACACACACCATATAGCAAGCCCCCAACAAAGAAGGCATTCCAAAGAGTACCCACGACAGCAAATATCAGGATTGTGCCCAGGTTCTCCATGAAGGGACGGATGGGCAGGAAGTAGCCAGCATCCAGGATAATGGGGGGCAGCAGGATGTAAAAAAACAATTTAGAGTCCAACACTGGTGGGACTGTTTCACCAGTACCTCTGATGATTCCCCCTACCAGCAAGCCCACCACGATCAACAGGCAGCTCTCTGGCACAATGTTGGATAAGTGAGGAACCAGATGGAACCCTGGATGGAAACAAAAGAAGAGACAAACATGAACAAGTGCTTGATATGAGCAGCAGAAGGTTTGTATATATAGTATTGACCACCTGTACTCACTGTCAACTAAAAAACAGAAGTAATACAAATTCAATGTGAAAATCGAAGGAAATGGATCTTAAGTGAAAAAAAACAACAAAATTGTGTTGGTTTATGGGTTAAATGATAAGTAATGTAATTAACTGGAATTATTTCGAGCTCTTTTCTGCTTTACAGAGATTACACAGAACTAACCACAAGCAATCATCTGTAACATACATCACTTATGTGTTATGCTACCACCCACACAGCTAATTCCTTCTTGTGCTTTAGATTTATTTTTATTTATTTATTTTTTAAATAGTGCACAAAAAATAAGCTTCTGAATTTATTCATCACTGTTAACATCAGCATGAAATGCACCATTCTGCACTGGTGATATAGGCAGGAAATGCAAAAGGAAGAATTTTGTGTGGGCTGTATAGACTTGCCAAAGCTTGCCTGTCCTCACGTACTCATTCCAACATCTTAATAAAAAAAAAACAAAAACAACAAAAACAAACTGCAGCTGCTGGTATGTTAAAGACCTGTGTAACCCCTGATCCTAACACCATCACCTTATGTACTCTTGAAGGAAAAAAAATGAAAATGACATGCAAAAGATATAATGTAGACAGATCGTAAGAGACACGAGAGACCAACAAAGTCAAGCGTGCAGTTTAAATAAAGTTACTATTGCCCTACGTTCAGGACATGAAACAATCCATAAGTGCTATATTTTACCTTTATTTTTATTATTTAATTTACATTAAATTTTTATTTGATCAGCTAATCTAATTTGGTGGACATTCCAGAGAACTGAAATAACCTTTCCCAATCAGGTGGTATTGCTTGAGGCTACATAGCTCATGTCAAGGCACAGAGTCTGTCAATACGGTATGCTCACAGTAAGACTTTGCCACTCCCAACAAACGACATATACAGTGTGTCTTTGAAAGCCTATCTTTCTGATTATCAAAATACATACACAAGTTGCCTATCCATGTTGAGGCAATGGAACAACTGCAACTTTTGGAAAAACAGTAAATAAAGACTTCAAAGGGACAGCAGTAGGCATCCCACAGTGGGGCTGTTTTTACTGTACACAGGTATGTGTCAGTATTTTGCTCGCAGTGTAATAAATAACACAGCATAAACAGAAACTTAAACAGGGCAGGGTTACAACACATCCAGACAAAACAATATTTTTGGGAAAGATCATTTTACACTGTAAATCAATAAATTTGGTATTTTAATATTGAATACATTCATCTAAAATAGCACATGTGAAACTATCAGTGAGCAACATAGTTACAAAGTTCAATCATCATAGGACAAAAGTGGTTGGTGCCTGAAAGCAGTACCACCTGAAATAATAGCTGCTGGATTTGTTACCCCTCTTTTGAACAAGGAGAGATGAGGCATGAAGATGGTCCCTCTGATCGGCTTACTTTTACCCAATGTGATTATTGGCACGCTAAATGAATGAACCAATTAGTGCATAGTACAGTATGTTTCTCAGTTATAATACAGGTTGTTTCTCATGTAAATATCAGACCTTCATGCCAGTACGCACGTTTATTGCTACAACGCAACGCATCATTTATAGTGAAAGCACATAAGCATACATGTCTTAACGGTATGTAAAACACCAGCATCACAAGTTGGGCATTTGTGAGGGTGGTCTTGGTGTGTTTCACGCTAGGGCAGCTTGAGCACAACATTAACAGTGTTTCAGAAAAAGAAAGCTCAACAAGTGCATGTCTGTGCATCACACAGCTGCAGGATTAGAGGCTTTATCTTAACTGGTCTAAGAAGACTTCATTTCCCCACGATAAGATGCCAGAACTCAAGTGCTGCTCTTTCAAATAACCTTAATATAAAAAGAAAAAGAGCGTCACCTAAACCTCCTGGGAAGCTCAGTATCCAACTGGGTCAACAAAGATATTCTATGAGAACTGCTTGAACACAGTAAACGAGAACTTTATGAAATTTCAGCCAAAAGGATGGGATGTGAGCAGGATGGAAATTCTGCTGCTCTTTCTAATTGGAAGGTTGCCAGTTCGAGCCCCGGCTTGGACAGTCTCGGTCGTTGTGTCCTTGGGCAAGACACTTCACCCGTTGCCTACTGGTGGTGGTCAGGTCCGGCAGCCTCGCCTCCGTCATCACCAGTGTGTGAATGTGTGCGTGAATGGGTGGATGACTGGATATGTAAAGCGCTTTGGGGTCCTTAGGGACTAGTAAAGCGCTATATAAATACAGGCTATTTACCATTTACCATTTCTGGAATTTTCCAAAACACAGTGTCTTCTCAGAAGAGAGGGTTGATGTGCTCTCAAGAGGCTTCAAATATAAGGCGAAATTAGCACCACAAATTAGCACCTTGGTGATTACAACATCTCGACTCCCATAGACACGGTTACATAATTACAAAGCTTCTTCTAAACGTGTTGCAGGCATCAACACTACAGGGATATCTGTTAGTGTGGGGGACATCACATTACACAAATCAGCCTGCACACCCCAAGCTAAGCTAATTGGTACTTAGCTGAACAGAATTTAAAGTGAAAGGCCTTCCTCAGAATTAATACCCATGATAACATTTTACACAAAAATGCCTGCCAACAACTGTGGTAGGTCATATCCATTTATCCTTTTGCTTCCTTGATAATGCATAAATAATTGCAACAGTTTCATTTCTCAGCCTGTCAATGATCCCAAACTGTATTGACCCCCCCCCCAAAACCCCCAAAACATTACACACATACATTGGAATACTGTCAGTCATGGATTGGCCTCCCCAGAGCCGGAATCTCAACATTATTAAAGGACTGTTGGGTTATCTTGGCAAAGAACAGTGCAAAAGGAAGCCAAAATCCAGAGAGCTTTGAATGTTCTTCAAGCCCGGACAACTATTCCTGAAGATTAAAGTACATCTTCAGGAATAGTTTACTATTTTCATTTTATACCCATTTCCATTTTTGCTTGCACATTTCAATAGATCACTTCACCCATTTCCCACTTTCCTATCAAAACATAAAAAATGAGAGGCGCCACATGACTTTAACACAGTCCTGTAACTTAAATGAATATGATTTTTTTTAGCAATGCTCACACAGAAAGCAAAAGGTGTCATACAAAGATTTCACAAGTCTAAACTTCTCGTCACACCAGGAGAGAGCTTTAAGGCTACATTCACACTGCAGGCGAAAGCGCATCGAATCTGACTTTTTGGACCCTATGCGACCCATATCCGATCATGGTATGACAGTGTGAACGGCACAAATCCGATATTTTCAAATCCGATCTGGGTCACTTTTGTATGTGGTACTGAATCCAATACATATCTGATGTTTTAGAAAGCGACTGATGTTTGAATGGTCATGTCGCATCAAATCTGTCTTTTACGTCACTGACACAGGACAGACGCCAATTATCAGCGCCGGAGAAGTGCCCGAGAAGACATCGTGAAGGTTTCCTGGCCATCCAGTGTAGATGTTAGTGAAAC